TATAGTTCATGAATTTATTCAAAATTTCCCTATTTTATTGTTTTATTAAAACACCCCCTTATAGTTTGTAATTGATTTTACTTAATTGACTTTTTTTTCTGGTAGGTATCATTTGTATTTTATTTTTAAGTACCACTTGTATTGAGATTTGAAAATGGTCACATGACCACCTAAAGTGAGTAGAAAATGTTTGAGGGAATGAATTTATTGTTGTTTATTCCAGAAGTACCCCTACATTTTATATTTTATATCAAGCTTTTAGAAAGAATTCCCCCCCTCCCCAATGATAATAGATTTAGAGCATAAATATTAAATAGCATATACCCCGCTTAAGATAGAAAAAAAAAACTTAAGAAAAAGAAAAACATTGGTGATGGTAATTTTTCCTTCACGTGATTATGATAGTGTAGGTAAAAAATTGTGGATGTTAGGGTCAAAACTATCATTTTCCGCTTCCATTTGATGGAAGGTTGATTAAGTAAATTGATTGTAAATTATAGAGAGTGATTTAGTAAAATACAAATTATAGGGTAATTTTAATAAATCCAAGAAACTATAAGGGTGTTTTAATAAATAACCATTTTTTAAATAACATTGGGCAAATTTACTGTGAAAAGATGAAAAATACTCCTTTATTTATTACATAAGGTCAATGTTGTCTTTATTTACTCCATTCTTTTAAATAATATTGGTCAAATTTATAAGTGTTCTACATGAAGCGTTTCACAAGCGTTCTATTTCATAAGTGGGCCCTCATTCACTAGTGATTCATTTCATCTGTTTCTTTTTTTTTTTCTTTTTGAAAAATGCAAAAAACATCAGGATGCATGCTAACTGTGTGTTTAAAGTGATTTGGTTTAATATTATAATATATTTATAATGACAACTCCGTGAAATTTCATTAAAGTATTTAGTTTTTTCAAATTTCAATGTGCCATGTCAATTGAGCGATTCAATAAATGAAAAATTAACGTTTCAAGATACCTCTACTTTCCTGAATCCCAAAACTAATCATTGCAATAATTTTTTTTTGAGAAACTTGACTACCAAATGCATTTTTTTTCCAATTCCATTTAATGAATAATGTGACACGCATGACATATTAGAAGAAATGAAATGCTTATGAAACACTGTTTGTAAATTTCTTATAATCTGTTTGTAAATTTCTTATAATCTGGTGCCAAAAGACCTAATCTGTTTGTAAATTTCTTATAATCGCAATAAGGATTCATGCCACTTTGGATCTTCTAGTCATAGATTGTTCCCACATCCCTACATTGGACACAACCAAGGTGTATTGGCAACATCTACAATTGTCAATGGGTCGGGATCTAACAAACCCAAACCAATTGAGTCGATTATGACTCTAGGATCTGGTACCAATGGATCGGTTCCGGTTCTTAATATATTGCCTTGATTATTATTGATTTAGAACCAGTTTTATCCAGTTCCAAATTGATTCAGATCCGATCTGATTTATCCATTAGATTTCAAAAACTAATCAATTTAGTTCTAAGTGTAAAATTACATACTTTATAAGGTTTGGTTCGATTTTTGATTGATTCTGATTCTACCTGGAACCGACCCATTGACAACTTAGTAACATCTCCCATGAATGACATGGTGATATTCTCAATAAGCAGCTGTAATGTTGTGTAAGTAGAGAGAAACAGTTTGTGGGTAGACCTGTTCATGGGCTGGGCAGCCCGATAGGCCGGCCTGACCCCCGGACGGGCTTGAATAAGGATTTGAGATCGTGGGCTTGACCTCGGGCCTAAAAGCCTGGCTCGAATTTTTTTCGGGCCGGGCTTGGGATTTGTCAAAATAGCTCGGCCCGAGCCTTAAGCGAGTTAAACCCTAAATATCCTAATTTCTAACCCCTCTCTTCTCTTCTCACTCACTTAGCCAAATCTCATTCTCAGTTCTCACTCACAGTCACAGGCAAACACTCTCAGTTCTCACTTATCGAATCTCACCGACGAACACTCTCAAAGGTGAGTCCGGCGAATACTCTCACCGGCACCACCAGTGGACTCCGGCGGTGAGTCCTCTCTCTCTTCATTGTTCCTCTTCTCACTTCTCCTTCTCACTCTCAGAATCTCAGCTCAGGCTCGTTTATTAGACATGAACTCAGACACCAATGAACTCAGGCACCGGTGGTAAGTCCTTTCTCTCTCTCTTGTTAAGTTTGCCCTTTTGTTCTATTCCGAAATTATTGTTTGCCCATTCTCTCTGCATACTATTAGCCTATTACGAAATTGTTCTGGGGATTTTTCTTCTATTTTTCCTTTTTGTTTATCCTGTAAATTAATGAAATGCTCATTTCAGGCAAATTTAGACAACCTGATGCATTGTAATAATGCTGTATTTGGTAGTCGTTCCTTTTCCTTGTGCCTATCTCGTTTGCCAAAAGAACCACCTGATGCATTGTGGTTCTGCATTTCTTATGTGGTTTGTTGGAAGAACGAAGAAAAATAGAGGAATCTTTGCGGATAAGGCAAGATCTAAGAAGGAACCCTGTCCCTCATCAGGAGAAAAATTTTGGACTGAGTTTGTTTCTTTCTGAATTTTCAGGGGTGTCAGTTGCTTGGGATTGCTTTTTGGTCATCTTTAGAATGAGTGGGGGTTAATGCTTTTTTGTTGGACTTCAGATTCGGGCCTAAGCTTCGGGTTTTTTATGAGGGCTAGACTCGAGCCCAAGATCTATTGGTCGGATCGGGCTCGGGTTCGGGCCTAACAAAATTCTATTTATATAGAGAAAAAACCCGGCCCGGCCCATGAATGTAATTGCCTAATTGTAATAGAACACAACGGTAGTAAAAATAACTTGCTGCCGAGGACTGAGGAGGGCAACTGTAGATTTTTTTTTTTTAATTTTCATTTTGTTTTTAGAAAAAGGCAAATAAAGTAAAAGAAAGGCACAAATGGCACGTGCCTGCTCACATCACTCTCTTTCACGTGGGGTACCTTTGACACCACTCGTTCGTCGTCACCCTTTTTATCCATCTTCCACCAGCATCCGCTTCACTCAACTGTCCCCAGAGTTTTCAATTTTTTTGACCAAAATGCCACTGTGTGTTATTCAATCACCGAATACATCGGTGGTGGGGCCGTGACCCGGCCATCCATGGGCCATGGCACGACATCACCCGCTACCCTTGATATATGGGCCGACGATCAACCCCATGCATGACAAGGTTATCTCTGGGCTCTAGCCCATGGGCCGTTATTTACTTATGGGGCACACACAAACATTCATATTTGGCATGTATGGAGTTTCCTAAAGTTGAAGTACGTCATCATATATCTCACAACTTTCCCCGGGTCGGTCGGTTGGACTGGGTGCATCAAAGCGTAATAAATGGTCTAATTAGCCCCAGTTGTCTAGATCCTGGTGGTAGAAGATTTCTTTAGGCTGTGTTTAGTTGCAGTGCGATTTTATTTGCACTAATACAAATGCATGAGAGTGCAGACGAAAAAATGTAAATTTTCGTTTAATTTTGTTTCGGGTTTTATTTTATTTTGTTTTAAGTTAAAATTTGAAATAAAAATAGGTCAGAATTTACACTCAAATCATTTGTACTGACATAATTTTGCATCAATGCAAATTTATTTGCATTTCAACCAAACACAGCCTTATGGGCATTGGTGATGGTCCAAAGTGATTTTGATATGTATATCCAAGTTTGGCGTCAACAACAACAACCTCTAATTGGTGTGACTCAATGTAGTTTTTGGCTTTTAGATAATTTGGATCCAATTTGGTGTAAATCAAAATTGTCACCACTTTTGGACCTATTTGCTTGGGATACGAATGGCTTTGCCCTCCATACACTCTCTCTCTCTCTCTCCAACTCTAATTGTAGAAACCAATTTTGGATTTGGACCAGGACCACCATTTTAATTGGATCCATGGACCCCACCTTACCCATCGCATGGCCCAAGCAAGAAATTGCCTTTTATTCTTTTAGCCCATTCCTCCAAATGTCCATTCAAAAATCTTTCTTCATTTAACAGGGACGATGGTATGGCCATCCACCTACTATTTTGGATGTGGGACCCATCAGATCAATCGGACGCACTCCCATCTACATAATTACATTACACGGCTTTATTATCCTACGATCATGCTTCCTTCCATGCTCAAAACCAACCTAAATTCTTCTTTTATTTTATTATTATTAGCTGTCATAGGGCAGACATTACTCGTTACTTTAAATAGATAGGGGTATTTTTGAAATTTTATAAAATTACCACCCGCTGAACTGAACAGGGACGGTTCAGAAAGCGGAGAGGACCAGATTCGTAATATTAAGAACATGCAGGGGCCTACTTCTACCAGTTGTCCTTTTCCTCTTTAAAATTTGAATCATATGAGGGTGAAACTGGAAAAAGTGTAATATCTCTATCTTCTTTATATCTACGATCTATCTACCATTAAATAGAAAAAGTAGAAAAAGTTCATCTAATCCAATCAGCATCGTCCATTTCTAACGGTCGGAAATGAAAGAGAACGGTTCACTAACGACGTCAACGTTAATTACCAAAGCGGGTTTTTTTGGTTTTTCCCGCATTACTACACCTTTTTTCTTAATTAAAAAAAAAAATTATATTCTCCCCCGTTTAAAAGACTCTGATACTGTCTGTCTGCCTCTGGACTGAGTTCTATTTCTCATTTCTTGCTCGTCTCCTCGTCGTTTTTCTGAGCTTAAAATAGGAGACGTAACGAATTTCACTGGAACAGATTGTTGCTTGACATGATCTCCCTTGTTTCTGGAATCTTTTCTTCGACAGATTTGTTTCCGGAGATTTTATATTTTTATTGAACTTTCGTTCCACATTTTGAGGACTCGGTCGGCCGGTCTTTTGATTTACTGTAAGTCTTTTAGCTGGATTTAACACTCATTCGCATAATCTGTGTCATAGATGCGAGTTTTTCATCGATCGCTGTTGATCAAACTGTGAGACTAAACTGCATTTCTTTGTTTTTTAGGGTTCCTTTGTTTTTCTCATTTCATAATTAAGCTTCAGTCGTCATTCTGCACTGTAGTACTTTTTGTTGCATTTTAGTCTGTTGACGAAGCTTGACATTTTTCAATCGGTTTCTCTGTTCTTCTCTTCTCACTACGTCCGTTTTCCTTCTCTTCTTTGTCCTTTTTGTTCATGTCAAGAGTTCTTAGTGGATTTCTTAAGTTTCAATTTTTGGATGTTTCAATAGATTTTCTTGATCGTTCGAGCTGCATTGGTATTCCTAGGTGGGTTTTTGGATTTCTTGGTTCGGGAGAGAAATGAATCTGGAGTTCTGGCCCTTTTGGACTTGACAGTTCTTGATTTGAGATTCACACTTGGTCTTTTAACAGAAAATTATTATCCTCTCACTCGCTTCCCGTTGCAGGAGAATTGGAGATTTATTATGGATTCTGCACAGCAGAGGAGAGGGGGGCTTATCCCCGTTTCGCCTTCTCAAACTCCACGGTCAAATGACAAGGCTTCAAGAGATCTACGATCTGGGGATGGAAATTCAAATAATAAGCATGACAAGGATAAAGGTGTTAATGTTCAGGTTCTTCTCCGTTGCAGGTTGGTCAAACCTGATCTTTCCTTGAATTTCTGGTTAATGGAGAAAATTTTATGAATTTCAGACTATAATGACTTTTTTTTTCTAGACCCTTGAGCGAAGATGAAATGAGGGTCAATACACCTGTGGTGATTTCTTGCAACGAGCATAGACGAGAAGTATCTGCCATGCAGAACATAGCCAACAAGCAGATTGATAGAACTTTTGTATTTGACAAGGTTTGGCACTTGAATCGTTCTCCATTCATCTCAACTCCCGTATTGATCTTTACAACTATGGAATTAGAACTTCTGATCTGTTTTATAACGTATTATATAACTGTACACTATTCTGTGTAGGTTTTTGGTCCGGCATCTCAACAGAAGGATCTGTTTGATCAAGCCGTTTCTCCTATTGTCAATGAAGTTCTTGAAGGTTATAACTGCACCATTTTCGCATACGGTCAGACGGGTACAGGGAAAACATACACAATGGAAGGAGGGGGAAGAAAATCAAAGGTTTTTCGTTGTTTTACTTATCCCGGAGTTAACATAACACTGGTCTTTCCATGCTTTCTGTGAATTTGAGAGCCTTTTTCTTCTTGTTTTTTCTGTCTTTGTAGAATGGGGATTTACCAAGTGATGCGGGTGTTATCCCTAGAGCTGTTCGACAAATTTTTGACATACTTGAAGCTCAAAATGCCGAGTACAGCATGAAGGTTACATTTCTAGAGCTGTACAATGAGGAAATAACCGATCTTTTGGCTCCCGAAGAATGCACAAAATTCATTGATGACAAGTCAAAGAAACCAATAGCCCTCATGGAAGATGGAAAAGGGGGTGTTTTTGTGAGAGGCCTGGAAGAGGAGATAGTCTGTACTGCAAATGAAATATATAAGATCTTGGAGAAAGGGTCTGCTAAAAGACGTACTGCAGAAACCCTGCTTAACAAGCAAAGCAGTCGTTCCCACTCAATATTTTCTATCACAATCCACATCAAGGAGTGTACACCTGAGGGAGAAGAGATGATTAAATGTGGAAAACTTAATCTTGTTGACCTTGCTGGGTCTGAGAACATATCACGTTCTGGTGCAAGAGAGGTATGCGGGCTACTACTGGTCATCCTTTAACATATGTACTCTAGCCCTTTAATCTATGGGCTATTAGCATAGGTTCAGACATACATACAAGTGCACAACTGCATATATTCACATTGGCACATGCACTTAAAATGGCATGCTTGTAGTTGTAGATGTAGTAACATTAATTAAGACCACTCCAGTAGTACCGTTCTCTCTCTCTCTCTCTCTCTATTTAATTGTAAGTAGACCTATGTTTACAGGGAAGAGCAAGAGAAGCTGGAGAGATTAATAAAAGTTTGCTTACACTTGGTCGTGTCATTAATGCACTAGTTGAGCATTCTGGTCATGTGCCATATAGGTATGTATTGTAACTCAAATTTGACAATTTCTTTCTGGCATGTAGCATATATTAATAAAACTAGAATGTGCAACAAAGTGCTGAAAGCATTGCTTGGTCTGCCAGGGATAGCAAATTAACCAGATTACTAAGGGATTCTTTGGGAGGCAAAACTAAGACATGCATCATTGCTACAATATCACCTTCTATCCACTGTTTGGAAGAGACACTGAGCACCTTGGATTATGCACACCGTGCCAAAAATATCAAAAACAAACCAGAGGTTAGTGTTTCTCCAGTGAAAGTAACAGTCTGTCTCTATCAGATACGACACAAAAAGGTGGACATGAGATGTACAATCTGAAGATTAGTTATCTAATTGTCATTGTTTGGTATCCATCTTTTCTTTGCATTTGCTTAGGTTGAAATATGTTCCCTTAGAGCCTAATTTAATGGTTCTAGTTGTGTTGTTAATATTTTCAGATTAATCAGAAGATGATGAAATCTGCGCTGATAAAGGACCTGTATTCTGAGATTGACCGCCTTAAGCAAGGTTGCTTTTATTTTCCTAGTTGGAGGGCTTGGTCATACTCCTAATAAAATATTGAAATGTATTATTAGATAAATATTTAACTTATTCTCAACAGATTGTATGCTTAGAATTGAGAATGTAAAAGAAGCAGCATCTAATGTTTAATGTTATATCTTGTTATCCATCTCTGACCAGAGGTATATGCCGCAAGGGAAAAGAATGGCATCTATATACCACGGGATCGTTACCTCCAAGAAGAGGCTGAGAAGAAGGTTCAGTTCTTGCATTTTTTTAAGTTGAATTATGCATAATTTTTTTCCAATCAATGTTGCTTTCAGTCATTATTAGCTATTTCATTTGTTTTTGCCATTTCTCTTTATCCAGGCAATGGCTGAGAAGATAGAACGCATGGAACTTGATTCAGAGTCTAAGGATAAGGTAGTTTCATCACTATTGAGATTCTTCAGGTCTTTACCTTTCAGATTTGCTGGTTATAGAGGCCGAACTAACTAAAGATATATTGTGAGCAGCAACTACTGGAGCTTCAGGGGCTTTATAATTCCCAGCAACAGTTGACTGCAGAATTAAGTGAAAAGCTTGAAAGGACTCAGGTAACATGTATTCAACAATCATAATCATGTTCCAGTTATTGCCACTTGTCAATCAAACTATCCACTATCTTTTCCCACTTTACTGAGAGAAATTAAATTTCTTATTTGCAAACTAACTGCAGAAAAAACTTGAAGACACTGAACATGTGCTATTTGATCTAGAAGAAAGATATAGACAAGCAAATGCCACAATAAAAGAAAAGGAATATATAATCTCCAATCTCCTAAGATCTGGTAAGAAAGTGCATCAAATTCTCCCTTGTTCTTATAATATAGCAATCGTGTTAGTATGTTGAATATATTTTAATATGGTTGGCTATCATATCATGTATCATTAACATGGTAATTGATCTCTATGGATGTCTTAAAATTCCAGACATTATCTATTTGCATTTTGTAGTTTGGATATGGTATATTTTACTTTTGAATCTCTTACATTTCAATTTGATTTCCCACATTGATAATGTATTTGTTGATCTTTTAGAGAAAGCGCTTATAGAGCGGGCAACTGAGCTCCGAGAAGAGCTAGAAAATGCAGCATCAGATGTATCTGGCTTGTTCGCCAAAATTGGTCAGTACCCATGTTCCACTAGTAGACAATGTTTTGGCCATTATCCTTCTTAAGGGTACAAGGTTGCACATTTTCTTCTGCTGATTCTGCTATCTACGGTTGGTCTGTAGAGCGGAAGGATAAAATAGAAGATGGAAACAGAATTCTTATCCAGAAATTCCAGTCCCAACTTACCCATCAGCTTGATATCTTGCATAAGACTGTTGCATCTTCGGTAACACAACAGGAGCATCAACTGAAAGAAATGGAGGAAGATATGCAATCATTTGTCTCTACGAAGGCAGAGGTAAAAAGAAAAAAAAAAGGTCCTCAAGATGATCAAGTCATTTTTATACTTCAATTGACAAGCTTGGTTGTGCTTATTCTTTATACTTCTGGTCTCTCTGTAGGCCACAGAAGAACTTCGAGAAAGGGTTGAAAATCTGAAAGCCATGTATGGTTCTGGTATAAAGGCTTTGGATGATTTAGCAGGAGAGCTTGATGGGAATTCTCAGTCAACTTTCGGAAATCTGAACTCAGAAGTTTCTAAACACTCATCTGCCCTTGAGGACGTAAGAATTGCTTATTCTGTTTTAATTGACTTTCTTCTTCAGTATCATCCTTATTGTTGTTTGGCCTCTTCCATGCTACAGCTTTTCAAGGGAATTGCCTCAGAGGCTGATATGATACTTAATGAGCTTCAAGGCAGCCTTGCCAACCAACAGGAAAAGTTAGCTACATATGCACAACAACTGCGTGAGGTTGGCTATTGCTAATTCTTATGTTTAATCAACTGCAACTAGGGTGCTTTCACTTTTCTAATTCAATTGATTGCTTTAATGTATGCAGGGACACTCTAGAACAGTGGAAACTACAAGATCTATTTCTAAAATTACAGTGAACTTCTTCAAGACATTGGACATGCATGCATCCAAATTGACCCAAATTGTGGAAGAAGCACAAACCATCCATGACCAAAAACTATGTGAACTTGAAAAGAAGTTTGAGGTGATTCTTGCTTTCCACTTTAGTCCTATCCATTGAAAGATCTGTCCTGCTTGTTTTATAACCTTTTTATTTTGCATAAGAAGGAATGTGCTGCTTATGAAGAAAGACAACTGTTAGAAAAAGTAGCAGAGCTGCTAGCAAGTTCGAGTTCTAGGAAAAAGAAGCTGGTATGCATTCTTGTTCTTTGACTTTCATGGAAATATAACCTTTCCTATTGTTTGGGTGATAATGATCTATAGTTTTAGGAGTATGCTGAAGTAATCTTTTATCAAAACTACAGTCAACTACAATTTTTTTTTTGTTACACGTGAAGCATAAAATGTATTAATATGATGCCATAGATGATACATTTCTATATGAATCCGGTTGTCTAGATCCTGCATAGTCCATCAGCCAGTCTTTTGTGTCAGTGGTCCACTGGTTACTTGCCATAGTAGGGGCATTAACTTCAGATCAAATTGCTCTTTTATATTTGCATTCAAATAAACTATTCAAATTTTGATAAAAATATGTTTATGTTTCACCCATGGGTGTTTATGAAAAGGTTCAAACTTCACTGGAAGAGTTTTCAAAAGTTGCAAATTTTAGTACGTGCTAGCCAACTAAAGGCAGAGAGTATAACTTGAAGATAGTCAATTTATTGAATATCAACCTACTTTTTGCTATAAAAGAAAAATTCTTGAGGCTCAGTTTGGAAAGAGTACAAATACAAGTATGTAGAGTGAAAAACCTTGTATTTTGTATATTTGCACTGAACATGTTTGTGTTTGCACTCTTCCAAAATGTAGAACGCAAAGCCTTACACTGGTTGCTTTTCAGTCTGTCACTGTTCAACATCTTTGCCAACAATTTGTCTTCTGGGTGATCCTTCCTGAAATTTTAATTGTAGGGTAATGTTTCCTGGAATTGTCAATCTTACAGTCCAATGTTTCTGTTATTTCCTGAAACAATTGCAACATGTAAATGACAAATAACCAGCTTAGGATGTTCTAAGTCTTTAATTCTTTTATTGGTCTAACCTAGGCTCTTAAATCAAGAAAAATTTCTAATCTAATCTCTTCTCTGAACCACATCTAAGCGAAAAAGAAATGTTTTAATTTTGATCAAGAGAGTCATGTGTAAGTCTTTCAACCACTAAGCTATGCCAAGACAAATCAACTTAGATGAATGGCTTCCTTATAAATTCTGCATACATTTCCTATTTATTTAGGTTCAAACAGCGGTAGATGGCCTTCGTGAGAGCGCAGCCAGCAGAACAAGTAGGCTACAACAAGAAATGTCTACAATGCAAGATTTTACATCCTCTGTCAAAGAAGAATGGGCAACTTACATGGAGAAAACTGAAACCCACTATCTTGAAGACACTGCTGCAGTGCAGAGTGGGAAAAATGACTTGGAAGAAGGTCTCCAACACTGGTATGGGAAATTGCTAACTTATAAGTGCCTAGTCTCTTTTAGTTAAAATTTCTCGCAGAAAATGCTTTTGTTCATTTCCCTGAACCTTTTATTGCTAAAATATGCAGTGTGACAAAAACAAGAATGAGTACCCAACAATGGTGGAAGGCCCAAGATTCTCTGCTTTGCCTAGAAAGCAATAATGTTGCATCTATGGATTCCATCATCAAGTAAGTTAATCATAAATTTGATGGCGTCAATATTTCAGTTTGAAGGTGCATCTGATGTGTTCTTTTTTTGCCTTTGTTTTTTTCTTGCTTTTATCACAGGGGAGGAGTGGAAGCCAATCAGCGCTTACGTGCTCAGTTGTCTTCTGCTGCTGCATCTGCTCTTGAAGACGTTGATCTTGCAAACAAGAACCTTCTTTCCTCTATTGAATGTGAGTTTTTTTTTTTAGATTCCAACCCATATTGCTTTCATGTTAGCAAGCTATGTAAGAGACTTTCCAGGTCACATATAGCGATTTATTCTTATTCATAATTACGTACTGCAGATTCCTTGAAACTCGACCATGATGCATGCGAAAACATTGATTCTATGATTGTTCCCTGCTGTGGGGATCTAAGGGAACTGAAGAGTGGTCATTATCACAAGACTGTTGAGGTTACAGAAAATGCAGGAAAATGCCTGCTAGAGGAATATATGGTATGGTTTGAATCGGTTACTCTTGTGTTCCTAAAAGAATGAATTTGCCTTGCCCCTTTCTGTTTTTCTCCCTTGTTCAAGTACGTATCTGGTATCTTGATCCATTCCTTTTTCCTCCCAGGTGGATGAAGCAACTTGTTCAACACCAAGGAGGAGATCATTCAATTTGCCAAGCATGGCATCCATTGAAGAACTTAGAACTCCATCATTTGAGGAGCTGTTGAAGTCATTCTGGGAAACAAGATCTCCAAAGCAAGCCAATGGCGATGTAAAACATTTATCAGGGGCTTATGAGGCAGCTCAGTCCTTGAGAGATTCAAGACTTCCTCTCATTGCTATAAATTAAGGCGGGGGGGATGGTGGTTTATGAAGCATGTATATATATGGCTTAAGTCTGTACTCACCTACCTTAGTTGTTCAAGAAGTGTCGCCAATTTGGGGGCGAAATATACATATGTCCATGGGGGTATATATAGATATATACAGATCTAAGTTTGATTTATTCTTTTTTGTTTTTTTTTTGTGGGGGAGTTTCAATTCTTTGAAATCCTCTGCTTATAATGAGTGCAGTAGGATTACCAATAAGATTTTTTTTTTCGTGCTATCATTGTATTCACTATTTAGGATAGGTTTTCATATATTTTATTACTAGCTAGAGCCTAGACGATCCACATAAATGAATTTGATCCTGGAAGCTGTCTGGAAGTTTCTCATCTTATTTCAATATATATATATATATCATCAACTAGAACATTTCAGTCCAGGAACGCTCTTCCGCCATAAATGTTCCATGTGAAGTTCTCTTGGACTGCTCAGAGTATCGTTTATTTACTTGGGTGGCCTGCAGTTCAATACTTTTTTTTATCTTTTTGGGTGAAACCCTGCAGTTAAATTAAATACATCGAAGGTGTTTAGTGTTTAATGCGTAGCGTAACATGGAATGCAGTTGACAGTCAAAGACTGACTCAGGACTAAAATAAGTGAGTTGAGCCCAGAAGGAAACTTCCTCTTGTTTATACCGCACGTGGGAGGTTAAAAGAGAGTGCTCTGATAAAACACGTGGACCATTTAGAGGCCGCCAAGTGGGCTTTTGTATTTCTTGGCCCATGTGATGCCGGTCTCCCGGGAATCTTTTTGTAGATTTGTGGTGGGCCCATTCTACCAACCTGGCTTTGTAAGGAGCAATCGTGGTCATGGACGACCCTGGAGACCTTAGATCACAAGAGGCAAAACGTAAGCAGGGGTTCTTGTCATCATGTGATGTACTGATGTGATGATTTGATTAGTATTGTTAAGGGATGTCAACGGATCGGGTTCGGTATGGGGCGGAGTCGTACCAACTCCGACCTGTGAAACCAACCAAATCCAGTCAGCTCTCAGCAGAGAGAGATGTGTGGCATAAACAAGCATGCTTAGCCATTACTCAAGAAAAGATGGGGCAGATGAGAGAATCGGGGTTCAAAATTTGTCAAAGTAACCACCACTCTACCTCTTGGCTATGGCTAGGTGAGGTCCACATTTGATGTAAATCTTCAATAATGGAGAATTTAATTACTGTTGGATCAGCTATCTGGATGTTAACTGATCAACCACAGGAAGACGCCCCAAGTAATTACAATCAACAACGTTCTCCCGGAAGTTAATAAAGAATCCAACCAAAAGTGAAGTTATTTCTTTGGTTCCTGTTTATGGACAAAGCTCAGACCAAGTATAGGCTAAAGGAAAAGGGATGCATCATGGACCCCCCTCCCCCATCTGTGGTGGGGTTGAGGAAGAGACAAAGCCCAGAAGCTGCTAATCTGATTAGGTGTCCTTTGTCATACCAGGTTTGGCGTTGGCATCTAAGTGATCAAAATTATGGACCAAGAAACCATGAAAATATCAAAGAATGCTTCCAATGAATCATGACAAATCCAAAAGACAAGGAAAATGGAGAAAGGATGGCGTATATATTATATGGAATTTATGGAAATGTCAAAATAATTGGGTATTTGAAGGGCTGGAGAACCTAGAAAACAAGAGAAAGGATATCATTGATCCTTCTTGTTTGATGGAAATCGCCCCAACTGCATCAAATCAAAATAAACTTTGATGTATCGGTAACTCAACCATTTGCATGGGTGACTAGGGACTGCTTTGGTAAAATTATTAATATGCTCTCTAAAAAAACAGGCACAATTGTACAAATACCAGTATGAAGAAGTTATCGTCAAAGGAGATTCTCTTCTAACAATTTAATGCATCAACAGCCACGAATCCCCCCCCCCCGGACTACAAGAAGCATCATCCACGACAACATCCAAGAAACAAGCAGAGGTAGGAAATAAGACTTGTAATTAACCAAAACAGAGCTTTCGTAGAGAAAATTAGCTTTGAGGACATTTGCGGTCGCATTACCCTGAGCGCCGAGGTGTTGCTAGTAGTCCTCCTATGTATCAAAAAAAAGAGAGAGAGAGAGAGAGAAGAAGAAGAAGAGAAAATTTCCCCTTCATATGATGTTATTTAAATTAAATTTAGACAAATCTCTTGGGCTGTGTTTGGGTTGAAGGAAAAGGTAGGGAATGGTTTTGTACTTTTGTATAGATTTCCCTGGGAAACTGACTTACTCTACCTTTATTATTTAAAAATTACCTTAACATACTCCGAAGTTTCTTATAATTGACTAAATCCTCCCGCCATTAGCGGTGCATCACAATACATTCACATGTTACACCAGGTGATGTATAGAATTTTTTTATTATATCCTAAAATTATCCTTCTGTGATTGATTTGTCCATTATTTTTCAAATTTTCAAAACAAAACTCAACAGATATAAATTTCTACCGTTACAAATCTGGAATGCCATTGATAGATAATCCCAAAGCTTGGTTTGAGCATTTATTAACACCTCGACCCCTTTTCTGTGTTTTTCTTGGTTTAAGCATTTATGGGCTTTGTTTACAAGTCTGAACTGTATTTCTAGTTTCAAATGCCATTTGATGTTTATCATTCGGCAAAGTTGACGGTAAAACTGAATAATAAAACGGGACTCGGGAAGATATGACCATCAGAGTGTGGGGTGGGAGGTTTGATGCCTGTATTTCCATTAACGGCAACTCTATTCAAATGCTACAAGTTTATTCAAATATTTCATTAATATAAAGAATGATAAATAAAATAATATTTTCCATCAACACTAACAGAATTGCAATTTTTAATTTGTCATGGGTGGTTGGTCAAAAAGCTTGTCTAAGAACTTGTAAAAAAAATATCTAAGGCAGGGACTTGTATACTTCAAAACTTTGAAACTTTGCACCGTGCATACGGAAGAAACAGAGCATTGGAACCGGAAAACTGAGAGGCTAATCTACTATTGGGAATGTATATATCATAAATACTAGACCGTACCTTACCTTTTTCTCAAAAAAAAAGAAAAAAATCACACCAAAGACATCCATCATATATGTAAATATACAACAGCTCCATAATCGGGACCCCTGGTTCATTTTATTAACTGATTTTATGGTAATATGACACTTGCCAAAAAAAAGTTACAGCAGAACTTACTAATCAGACGGAAGTTCATTATTTTCTGGAATGCCTTAAGACCTCAAGTACATTTTATTTCCCAGCACTTACACTAGAAAGACCACACAACAGAAGGAGCAGGCTTCTAATGGAAAATTTTTACGAACGATCTTGTTCTCTATCTGGATGAGACACTGCTTGAACATCTTGTTCTCTTGGGTCCATGAATCAACAAATCGATTGCAGGCATTCTTACGAACGATCTTGTCTCTAAGCAGATTAGGAAGCAGGTTTTGGGTTTTATCCATTTATGGCGTTCAGATTTCTTTGCTTTTCAATTGACTTGTTGCTTTCCCTTTGGTAAGATCCTCTTCATATTCCATCCTTGCGTTCGCTTTCTCTTCAACAAATTTATCGTTGTCCATCAAGAGGGAAAACAGCTTTTAAGGCTTTTGCCTCCAGGCAAGTACAAGAAAATGGACTGAGGTGCAACCTCTAGATGCTCACAACTGTGAAGCAAATTGTGAGGGCTCAAGGCTCTGTTATCAAGGTTTGTCTTCAGAAGTCAATAAAGAGTTGAGAGTTCCAATTATATTGCTGAGACTTGCAAAGGAAACAGAACAAATTCAAGAAATTAGGGAATCTCTGTTCCCCAGGAAGAACTCATGTCCCAAGTGTTGTACATCAACTTGAGAACATGAACAAGACTACCAGAACAGGCCTACTAGTTTCCATAGCTAATATGTAACGTTGTTCTGCAGGAATCAAAGTTAGTTTTAAGTCAAATTACATCAATGCAGAAAAAACGCCAGCCTTGCTCAATACAAGAAATAAATCACTATGTGATGAAAATGATTTAAATATTTTCATTAAAGAAAATAGAACAGTGATATCTTGTCTGTAAAAACATTTTGAAACTCAAGAAGATCACTTGATATTGTACAATTTTGCAGTTAAAAGGATATACACATAAAATGTCCACCTTCAATGTACAGCTATGCACCTCAAATGGGATGATCATGCCATGCATATTTGGTGATGAATATTTGCTGGACTTCTACACCTGCAAAATGCAAAAAGAATTCTTCATTGTTAGACAATGCAATGGAAAGCAGGTAGATTAAATTGGATGCACCATAAAACAAGTCAATATTTACAACAAATGTAGAAGAATAGCTGAAAAAAATAATAAGTTTCAACATCCTCAAATGAAAACTCAGCTCAACAAAAACAGATGGCTAATGAGCCCAGTGCAAACTGTGAAATGGGCTGCTACCACCTAAAATGAGGGTTTTTATTGGGATGCAGTACACTTGAAAATCAATACCTGTAAGACTCCAAGAGAGAAAACCTAATTGGTGTCTATCACCTCATGTGTGTTTTGTTTGCAAAGCAAATGGTCCACTTACTAATCTCCTACCACCATGTTTCTAGTATTTAAGAGTGTTTCTTTTCTCTATTTGGTCGTAACTTGTAAGTGGACCCCTTCAGGAGATTTGGAAGTCTCTTCAAGAGCTCCTTTTCACTTTGCCGAAAAAGGGATGGAAGATATGTGAAGATGCACAAGGGAAGCAATATTATGAACAGCATGGGAGTAGAGAGATGCATAAATTTTGAAGAGGTCAAAACAAAGGAAGCTAGTACCAAAAACATATGTCTGAGTGACTGTAAAATCCTTGATCATCTTTAACCCTTTCTCAATGGATAACATCACTAGAGGGTTGCATTGTGTAGCATATTCATCTTCATCTAGAATTAAGGTCACAATAAACTGTTCACTGCAAAGTTCTCCCACAGTGTCTTCCTTTTATCAGGTATGATGTTTGCTCGGGCAAGTTAGTTAAATTTCCAGAACATACCTGGGTGGGTTCAACCTCACTGAAAAATCAATATCCATTCTTATTTGCTTTGTCTTCTTTCAAAGGGGAGTCTGTGTCAAAATTTATTGTTCCTTCAAATTCAAACATTGGTTTTAATTGGGACTTGGGTTTCAAAAGAGGACTAAGAGATTTGGGTAATGTAGTTAGATTTTGGGAACATACCCGGGGGGTTCAACTCCTCTGAAAGATAAATTTCCTTCCCTTTTTTGCTTTATCTTCTTTCAATGGGGAGCCTGTGTCAAAATTTATTATTCCAGTAGGAATCTGCTGAATTAAAAAAATATGAAAGAAAGTAGTTTCTTGAAGAGAGAAGGAGAAGAAGAGAAGAAGAGAAGTTGAAAAGAAAAGAGAGCAATAATCTGGCCGCCCCCTTCACTTATTATTTATACTAAAATAATAGAACAGTACAAAGACAACTATGCCCTTATAGGGCAACAAAACAT